GTTTGATCTTCAGCAATGTGACCGTGAGTGTCACGACCCATTTTCACAATAGGTCATGAGGGCGCCTGACACCCTTGTCAAGCAAGCCATTTGCGGAAACATTTCTAAATACGTATGTTGCTCTTAATTAAAAATAAGTGAAATAAACACTCAAAGCGGAATTTAAACCAGAAGAACTGAATACTGTAATAATATGACTACACAACCCTAAAATGATCGTCTACCAAAGTGTGTGCCAGAACCTGTTGTCACAAGCTACGGGCAACTAGTAGAATATATATCCAAAAGAATACCACACTACCCTACTGTTTAGATCCGACTAGACAGAAAATAACAATACAAAAGAAAGACTTCTTCGGCTGCGGATCGACATGGAAGGAAAGCAGCTCACCGTAGAAGTCCCAAGCCTGCTCACGAATGCGCACCAGAGAAGTAACCGGATCCACCTGCCTCAGACCCTGTACATTTAAGTACAGAAGCGTAGCCTTTGGCTAGGGAGGATTCACTGTTTCTTTGTCGGGTTCATTTGAACCCAGTACTTTATCATAAATTTATGTGTAAAAATCTATTAAAATTACAATAAATAGTTGCTATGAACCTATAATTTATAGTCATAGAATTCAGGACGAATGTGGTTTATTAGTAGAAATATATACTTTTTATTTTTATTTTTCATAATGCCAGTTTGATCACTTACTCCGGGGGGTATATATGAAAATAAAATCTAGCATGGTACCCAGTCTATAGCCGTTATCCATCTCTTTCACATATCCAAATGTGAGTCAAAAGGCAACAAATGATAGGATTTGGAGAAAGAATAATACAGCAGAGAGATTTCTTTTGCTTTCATTGTACCAGTGGATCTCTGTGTTTCCGTGGTGGTTAAAGAGGAGCCAGTACACCACATTCTTCCAATTTCTTTTCATTTCTCTTTTTGTTCTGCTTTTCTTGTGTCTCTAATCTTTTATTGCTTTCACAATGGCTGTCTGGTAGCAACAACTAATATTTCTCCTACACAAAGTACCTCCTTTCACAGGGGCTGTCTGGCTACTCTCTTTTTCTCCTTTGCCTTGTGGTTTGTGGTGTATTTTTTGAGGGTCTGACACAGATGCAGTAGCTGTTTTGGAGAGTCCGCGCAACGTAGCCTCTCAGACCTACTTCTGGCTTATTCACATAGTACTTGGATAACCAATTCTATCATTCTATTGAGACCTCCTTTCTGCAATAATAATTGCCTTAATCTCAAATTTAAGTGCTAATCCAGCAAGTAGCCAGCAACAATAATCTAAAGTTATACATACACAATGGCACTAACACTGAAGTTCCAATAATTGGAATACCAGTGTCCCGACAGTACCAGCTACAAAGCAGAAAGGTACAAACAAAAGAAACTAATCAGAGTCCAGAGAGGAAGTAGCCATTGTCCAAAAGTGAGAAGATTCACTCATTTCTGAGATTTGAAGTTCATACAAAATCACCCCCACAAAGTAAACTGATATAGAGGACATTATGTCTAGATGCTTTACCAGAAGCTGATGAAATACAAGAATTTACTGTCTCTTTACTTGTGCCATCCCAACTGGGCTAATACCTCATTACTGATACAATTTTTGAGGACGATAAGTTAAGGGAACAAGGAACCACTCTCTTTAAAAATCATCATTGTTGTTAAATTACAACATATTAGTTTCAAATCATAAAATTGGATTCATCTAACTAGGTTAAGAAAAATTCTTCAACACCTCTCATAAATGAAGGCCTAAGGGAAAATAAATCATATACACCCTTTTCAACCAGAGTTCAGTATATAAACTAACTAAATCAGGTACCCAGCTTCTTCTCTTTATCCTATACTTCATAAGCATTCACTTAAATCAACTCCGCCTCAAAATCTTTTATATTCACGGTAGCTGTCCCTACTAGTCGCCGACACTAGATCCATCATCATTTCAAAAATTAAATTTATATGGTTATTTATTTGAAAGATTAGAATGGTCTGCTTGGCAAGTGAGAGGTACCACACGTTCCCCTGGTTGCTGGATTGAATATAACCTCGATGCTGCTGTTTTCCAATCCACTTTTAAACCAAGCAACATTACTTATCTCTGTGGCTAATGTGGCCAACTCATGGCTTGAGAAGGATGGAGCGTCCGCGTAATCAACAAACTCAGGTCCCAACAGAGAACTTCCATTATTTTCCAGACTAGCATTGCCACAACAGCCATGGCCGCACTGGTGAGGCACTAATCTGTCACTGAAAGCTCCTTCAAGCAATTTGCTTATCCCAAGATCTGGCGATTGGATAGGAGTTAGTCGTGGAGTTTGCACTAGGGTTTCTGGGGCGTTCAAAGAACCATATGCGCTAAAAGCACTTATACGAGCCACAGGACGGAAGAGAGTAGGAGGATCATTTGCTACATCACTCCGTTGAACTTCTTCGTGACTCTTATCCTCATAGTGATTATCTTCTTGGTTTTCCTGAGAGCTAACATCTTTTCCTTCTATAGCTTTCGAAGAATTCACATCACCGCATGATTGGGTTTCCTCAGAGGATACTTTTGATTTTTCTGCACTAACATCTTCTGGAACATTGCTGGAGTCACTTCTTAACTTACCAAGTTCGGCACAGCGGCGCCTCAAGGTTGAATTCCAATGATTTTTAATGGCATTATCTGTTCTACCTGGCAAAAGTCTTGCAATTGATGCCCATTTGTTCCCATGAACAGCATGGGCCTGAAGGATAATCCGATCTTCTTCATCTGTCAAGAGTGGCAGAATTGTTAGTTTCATTCACCAGCTACTTGTATTGTATAAACTTGAATAACGATAGTTGCTTCTTAGGATCAGAAGCTACGGGTGCAACAACTGGAAACTAAGAAGTATATCTAGTTTGATGCAGCACATCACCAAATCTTAACATACACGCAGAACTCCACATTTCACAGCAACCCAGAAAGTATTGTGGATGCTTAGAGGTTTAATGTTAACCATGGGGAATGACCGACGGACCCAAGTCCTCAATGTAGCGAAGATGCAACCTCAATACTACTGCTTTCCCTCCTTTACTTCTCAAACAAATAGGAATGTAGTCCGTGCACTCCCTCTTTTACTTCCCAACCCAACTTAGCATAGGAGAAGTGGTCAATAACCAGCATGTCTGTTGGTCGGTCATATTAGCTTCTAATTAACCCCACATATAATTTTCTAAATTGCAAGATAATCAGGTATTTCACAGAGCACTGCTTTTAGTTAAGACTCAAAGAAACAGAAATACTTCTTTCGTCCATTGTGTGACACCATATGGTTGGGAGAGAGGAAGAAAACATTAGAATTATTATTGAAAAGTTAGTTTGCTGAAAAACATCATCTCAAAATTTGAATTTTAACAGTTTAACTTAAAATCTTAAAAACTTTGAAATTTGCACAGAATAGAGGAAGGCCGTCAAAAGTAATAGAGGTTGAGAAGAACCAACAAAGGCATCATAACCTTGTTCACTAATTTGCTGCAACCTATCTGTAGTCAAGTTTCAGTCAGTACTTAGATGTGATCGTTTCGACGCTTAGAGCAATAAAGAGATGCAAAGTGAGGGGCCTCGCTTTGCATGGATGACTCAAAGAAATTTCAAAGAAGTGTACTCTTCAGACAGTAAGGCGCAAAGCGATTCAAAAAGAAATGGTCAGTTAACTGAAAATGAAGTCCTTCTGCTATCTCACTACTAGGATTTGTCTTAAGAAATACGACTTGAGTGCGGTCTGATCTGCCAAAACCCCTTGATAAATGTCTTATGTCATGAGTATTTTCAGCTTAAATAGAGAGTTGAAATGAGCACAAACCTTATAATTATCAGGACACTAGGACTAGCTGGGATGAAAATACAAGTGCAAGTTTAACCATTTTTGAGGTTGCACTTTTGCACTTCAGACTATGTCATCATCATTCAGATTCTTCATTATCCGGTTTCTTGATTTATGATTTGACAGGCAGGGTCTGTAAAAACCACCCTTGCTTTTCCCCCTTAAATTTACACNAAACCTCCTTGGCACCTCCCTGAAGTACCGTCTCCCTGAGAACCGCCAAATGTGGATCATCAAGCTATCGGGCCTTAATCTCCCCCAATAACGAGGACTGAGCAACCACACATGCTAGAACTCGGCTGGACTCTAAAATGTCCAACCTCACAAGCCTATTAGCTAAGGACTAGCTGTCCAAGGCTAGTGGCCTCTCCTCTGCTAGAATGAATGCTAGGCTACCCATGCTCTCCGCCTTCCTGCTCAGGGCATCCACGACCACATTCGCCTTGCCCGGATGATAAAGAATGGTGATGTCATAATCCTTCAGCAACTCAAGCCACCTGCGCTGTCTCAAATTGAGGTCCCTCTGCTTGAACAAATGTTGTAGGCTGCGGTGATCGGTGTAAACCTCACAAGGCACCCCGTATAAATGGTGCCTCCATATATTAAGAGCATGAACAATCGCGCCAACTCCAGATCGTGCACGGGGTAATTTTTCTCATGAGTCTTCAGCTTACGCGAGGCATATGCAATAACTCTCCCCTCCTGCATCAACACACATCCCAGACCAACGCGTGAAGCATCGCAATACACCGTATACATCCCCGTACCGGAAGGCAATACAAGAACTGGTGTCGTAGTCAAAGCTGTCTTGAGCTTCTGGAAGCTCTCCTCACAATCATCGGACCAAATGAATGGGGCACCCTTCTGAGTCACTCTCGTAAAGGGTGATGCAATAGATGAAAAGCCCTGCACGAATTGCCGGTAATAACCTGCTAATCCCAGAAAACTCCTGATCTCGGTCACTGAAGTGGGACGTGGCCAACTCTGAACTACCTCAATCTTCTTGGGATCCACCTTAATACCCTCTCCGGACACAATATGCGCAAGGAATGCCACTGACTCGAGCCAAAACTCACACTTGGAGAACTTAGCATACAGCTGCTGCTCTCGCAAGGTCTGAAGCACTACTCTCAAATGCTGCTCGTGCTCTCCCAGGCTATGCGAGTATATCAAGATGTCGTCAATGAAGACGATGATGAAGGAATCAATATAAGGCCTGAATACCCTGTTCATCAGATCCATAAATGTTGTTGGCGCATTGGTCAAGCCAAAGGACATCACTAGAAAATCATAATGGCCATATCTAGTCCTGAATGCAGTCTTCGGAATATCCGAGTCCCGAATCTTCAGCTGATGATACCCTGACCTCAGGTCAATCTTAGAGAACACCCTAGCTCCCTGCAGTTGGTCGAACAAATCATCAATACGAGGCAACGGGTACTTGTTCTTGATGGTGACCTTGTTCAACTGGCGATAATCAATGCACATCCGCATGGTCCCATCCTTCTTCTTCACAAATAGCACTGGTGCGCCCCAAGGTGATACGCTAGGCCTGACAAACCCCTTTGATAACAACTCCTCTAGCTGCTCCTTCAGCTCCTTCAACTCCTTAGGAGCCATACGGTATGGAGGAATAGATATAGGCTGAGTGCCTGGCCAAATCAATACAGAAATCAATATCGCGATCCGGAGGCATGCCAAGAAGATCAGAAGGAAAAACATCGGCGAACTCTCGGACTACTGGTACTGAATCAATCGTCGGAGACTCTGCAGTGACGTCTCGAACATAAGCTAGATAGGTCAAACACCCCTTCTCGACCATGTGTCGAGCCTTCAGGAAAGAAATAACCCTGCTAGGCATATCAACTGTGGAACCCTTCCACTCCAATCTCGGCAATCCTGGCATCGCTAGTGCAACAGTATTGGCATGGCAATCAAGGACGGCGTGATATGGAGATAACCAATCCATGCCTAGGATGACCTCAAAATCAATCATATCGAGCAATAGAAGATCAGCTCTAGTCTCGAGACCACAGAAAGTGACCACACAGGACCTGTAGATCCGATCCACAACCACAGAATCACCCACAGGGGTGGACACATGAACAGGAACACCCAAGGGCTCATGAGAAATAACTAGGAAGCGAGTGAACAGAGATGATACATATAAATAAGTAGACCCTGGATCAAATAATACCGAAGCATCCCTACCACCAACGGGAATAATACCTGTGATGACGGCATCTGAGGCCAATGCATCCGGCCTGGCTGGAAGAGCATAGAACCTGGCTGGAGCGCCGGCTGTCTGACCTCCACCTGACTGAGTAGTAGCTGGCTGACCTCTCCCTGTCTGGCCTCCACCTCTAGGATGGCCTCTACCCGTCTGCCCTCCACCTCTAGGTGGCTGGGCAGCTGATGCTGGAGTCGTGGGCTGCTGACCCTGCTGCACTGCCTTGCCCCGAAGTCTGGGGCAATGCCTCCTCATGTGACCAGGATCCCCGCACTCAAAGAAACTCCGCGGTGCGGCGACCTGCTGCCCAGAGGGCTAACCCTGATGACCTGAAAATCTACTGGAAGAATCCTGAATAGCCGGTGGACGGTATAAACCCTCCGTCATAGCACTGAAATGAGGACCGGAAGAATATGGAGGACCTGAATACCCACTGGAGGAGCCCTGAATAGCTGGAGGGCGATAAGAAATCTCCGGCATGATGCTAAAATAGGAGCGCGTGGGAGCACCCCGAGCAGGTGGTGTGCTGAAACTGGGGGCCTACTAGACTGACCTCTACCGAACTGACCTCTACCCCTAGCTGGGGCGCCTCTAAACTCTCCGGAGAATCTGGCCCTCTTATCCTGCTGCATCTGCTCTCTACCCCTCAGACGATAACCCTCAATCCTGCGTGCAATCTCAACCACTAGCTGGTACCCTGTACCCATCTCTACCTCTCGAGCCATACCAGACCGGATGGTGGGATGTAATCCCGCAACAAACCTCCGCACTCTCTCTGCCTCTGTGGGAAGTATCATAAGTGCATGGCGAGACAACTCAGAGAACCTCGCCTCGTAGTCGGTCACTGACATCTGACCCTGCTCTAGGAGCTCAAACTGGTACCGCAGCACTTCCCTCTCTGAGGCCGGAATGTATCGATCCAAGAATAACTGAGTGAACTGACCCCAAGTGAGGGGAGGAGAACCTGCTGGCCTGCCAAGTACATAGGACTGCCACCATCTACGTGCTCTGCTCTCAAGCTGAAAAGTAGTGAAGTCAACTCCATGCGACTCCAATATCCTCATGTTGTGCGCCTGTCCCTGCACCTGTCTATGAAGTCCTGAGCATCCTCATGACGCTCACCCTCGAAGACCGGAGGATGAAGCTTGGTCCATCTGTCTAATAGTTTCTGTGGATCACCATCCACAGCTGGCCTGGGCTGGGGTGCCACTGCAGCAACTGGCTGAGCCCCATCTGCGGGTAGTGCACCCGGAGTCTGATATACTGCAGCTGCGTGGCCTGGAGCCTGAGCAGTAGGGGTCTGGGCTCCCCCGTCCTGCCTGTGAGTGGCTGGGTCTGCTGGAAATAACCGAGCCTGAGTCATAGTACTCCATGA